AGAGAAGATCGGATTTTACAACTTTTTGCTTTGATCTGGATGAGTTGAGATTTGGGGGGGGGGGGGCAGAGGTCCACGGGCTTTATTTTCACGGAGAGAGAGGTCAGCAGAAGATGATTTAACTCAGCGGGGGAACTTTTGACAAAAAGTCTCAGCCGCAGCGTTGAACGTAGGCTGGCAGTACCTACAGTTTCCTCTTCTCATCTCCTCTCTCTCTTTCTATATATATAATATATTTATATATATATATTATATATTATATATAGGTATATATATCTATAATATATAATATATATATATATTATATACTATATATATATATTATATATATATCTCCTTATAATAAGCGCGCATTAGCTTTGGTATTCAAAAATTAAATTTGGAGAACAGATGCAATTTTAGTAATTATGATCTGTGTTTTTCTCTCTGGCATTCCTATATTTAGCAAATCTACCACACCTAATTTCTCAAATATCTTCAACTTGTATGATAAGGATACGTTAGGAATTAAATTAAGGATAAAAACTATTTATCAATATCAGTTATGAATCCAAGCTATTTTTTCTCTTTCCTCTATATGATATGATACTATTTTGTGGAAATACATTTTACCCCTTTCCTTTAAATGTACCATATAAATTAATTTCCTTAAACATTGTTATTCTTCCCTTTAAAAATTCGGTATTTATTATAGATAAATATTTCTAATCTAATTTCCCATATTGTTTTCTAGGTTTGAAACTTAAACATGATGTTGAAGAAGGTATGAAAAAATTTCTGGATAAAATAGTGTATGATAAACATTTCAATAGATTTGAGATAATACTTGTATCCTATCTTAGATGATCAATGATAAAACTCTATTATTTCTTATAAAGTTCTGTTATGGTGTTCACTCACCTAAGATATGGATATTTGCAAAATGATACAATAAAAGTCCTAGCAAAACAAACTCAACCCTTTAGCCGACTCCCACAATTGTCTCTCAGCCTTAGGCGAAGTAAAGCCTTAATCAATTCTCAAGAGTTCTAAGCATTCGACTCCTCAGTCAAATAACAAGCCCTTGGCTCTTTATCAAGGTAAGCCCAAGGCACAACATATGGTCGAATCCTCCAGTGCAACTCGACCATCATGGTTAATTACAAGACCTTGGTACCTTATCAAGGATAAACCCAAGGCACAATCACAGAGAACTCGGCCCCACCGACTCATCAAGACGACTCTCTGGTGTCGACACCAAAGGCGATATTGGTCGGCATGAGAGATCCTGACCACTCAGACGAGTCAACATCTTTATATCGACTCGAGAGAAGGTTATTAGCTGGGACGAAACGACATTCTAACCAGTCAGACAGACTGACACTCCTGAGTCGACGCGAAGGGCGATGTCGGTCGACCGTATCATCGAGGACGACCCTACTTAGGGCACTCGACCACTCACTGGGCATTTCTCAGAAACGAATGGAGGGACATTCTCTGCTACTGATTAAGTTGAGAGTTCGGCCCCAGCCCCAAGCCTCTATTCCAGAGCATATGTCGACATATCAGTCCACCTCGGACAAACCTTATCTAGATTTTAGCCAGATAGGTCTCCATGACTTGTCAGCTTAATCACTTTCCGGAAAATGAGGAGACACTCTCTCCCATGTTGAAGTAACTTTCCCTCCAGTTGTCAGCTGACACATGTAAAGCGAGGGATAATTCAGTATACCCACGTGCCTTCTGCCACACTATCAATCACTTCTTAAAAAATACGGAGACACCCTCTCCCGTGACGAAGTGACTTCACCTCCAGTCGCTAGTCGACACGGAGAGAGCAGATGATGACTCACTTTCCAGCTCACACTTGGTCACCGTCATTTGCATGGTCGAAGTGACCCATCTACCATTAACATCCTCTTTATATACAAATGATATTCGCCATAGCGCAAAAAAATGAGGAGGAGTAGAGAGAGGTTTGCAATCTAAAACCGCCCCTAAAGCATAGATGACACAAAAACAAGAACACACAATTCTTTGTCCAGACAGTGGAGCTCACGTAGATCCTCTGGCCAGAGACATTGCCACCTTAAGAACTACATTGGTTCTTGACCTTCCCCTTCCCCTTTCCTACTCAAGTTTCACTAACTTGATCGTCAGAGGAACTACGGGGGAACCGATCTCTGCCCTCTCACGGGTTCTTCTAGTCTGTGCAGTGTGAACATCAAGCATTCGTTCAAGAATCAGGTATAAAGTAGAAGAAGGTAGTGGGCCCTCCATCATCCTTCATCACCCCGCAACCATTCTCTTCTGGATTATTCTGTTTGATATTGAGCATCAACAGTTTGACACTCACTATGGGGCCACTCTTCTTTTTCGAGAAGACATGCCAAGTTCTGATCAAGGGTCTGATTCTACTCACCCTGAAGAACAACATCGGAGTTGCATCATCCAAGTTAAATGAAGTTAGAAGTTGCATCATTCAAGTTAAGGAGGGTTAGCTTTGGCTAAGAGGAACCAACATAGGTGCAATCCTCGAAAGTCTCAGTAACTTATCTGTGGAATGTTTCCCAAGCACACTATCAATTAGATGGTAGAGCGATCTTCAATCCCCCTAGAAAACCCTCTAGCAGAAGACCCACCATAAGGGTGGTTGTTTTTCTTAAAAATCGACCCTAACTTCTAATCGCCATCACACAATGAATCTGACCGGAACATAGGATTTGATGAGGTCAAATATCACTGAAGCTCCAACAATCGATAGCTCATATGAGTATAGGAACAATGATTAAGTCTATGATAGGCGCCTGGGACCATGAGAACTCTTTGAAGGAAACTTCCTTATACCAGAGGTGAGATTGTGGGAAAAACTTAGGGCCTGTTAGCTGATTGTTCTCAGGAAGAATGATTTTGGGTCTTCAACCAACACATTCACCACTAAATTTGCCTAAGCTCTGGTGGTCGAAGCATGCGACCTGTATGATCCCCATGAGGAAGAGTTCTTCATTCACAGCATGGTCCAGTCCTTAGTACTCCCGAAGCTCCTTCAAGAAAACCGCCACGGTTTGTTATTTTCAGGGAGTACAATATCAGCTGATGGATTCTCTCTCCAAGAGATTTTCTACCACAAAAGGTACAATATAGCTCCTAGTCGTGCCCCCAACCCTCGCGAACCCGACCTGGAGAACGCTATTCAACATGATTCATGGCGTCTGAACAGTTCATTTTGCCAAAAGCCGGCATGCCAACCATCCGTCTTCAAGGCCTTACTGAAGATTCAGCCTCAAAAGTAATCTTGGTTGATGAGATGGAAAATAGAGTTTCGACTCATCTCCGTTTATCAACAAGTTGTCCACTATGAAAGCAAGTAAAATCCAACTAAAAGAGGTTCTATACTCACAGCCTCATCCACTACAAAATTGCCTTTGAAGCAAAGCCAAAGCAAGATCACACGCGCTTCAACCCCCTTTTAGCATCAAATGCCTGCAAAGGATATTTTTCATGATAATGTAAAACATAGAACTAATAAAATGTTATTCAATAAGAACTAACTTTGATCTCACGGGAATTGAGGCTTCATTATGGCCAAAGACCTAGGTGTCATGTAAGACCTAGACACCCCCAACAAGCCCTTAGTACCTTATCAGGAATAAACCTAAGGCACAACCCTATGGTCGACTCCATAGTTTTCTCTCGATCATAGGGGAAGGAAAGCCCTAATGACCTCTAAAGAATTCTAAGCATTCGACTCCTCAGTCGAATTTTAAGTCCTTGGTATATTTTTAGGGCAAACCCACGGTACAACGACTCCTTAGTCGAATAACAAACCCTTGGCTCTTTATCAAGGTAAGCCCAAGGCACAACATATGGTCTATTCCTCTGGCTCTCATTGATCATCATGGACAAGCCCTTGGTACATCATCAGGAATAAACATAAGGCACAACCCTTTGGCCGACTCCTATAGTTTTCTCTCGGCCTTAGGGGAAGGAAAGCCTAGTCAACTCTCAAGAGTTCTAGGCATTTGACTCCTAAGTCGAATAACAAGCTCTTACCTCTTTATCAAGGTAATCCTAAGGCACGACCCTATGGTTGACTCCTACAGTCACTACTCGACCATACGGAGATTATGAAGACCTAGGCACCTCCGTAAGACCTAGGCACCCAACCTCAGGGTTGCCATTCTGCCAAAAAGGTATACATAAGCCTAAGGTATGAGTACTAAGTGTAAGGCCAATACTTAATTGATCTAAAAACTTGAGCAGTCATCTGTCGAATTCTGATCAATTGAACACTCAGTCAAAATAAGGCATCAAGTGAACTAGTTGTTATAAGTCCCTAGCACGGGTCGACATATTACAACTAACTTACTTCAGCCAACATCTCAGATGAGAACAAAGCTACAAAGCTCAAAGAATATAAACAATGAAGGCAAGCTCAAAAATAAAGACAAAAGTTAATTTTTATTCAATAAGAGTAACAAAGAATATAAACAATGAAGGCAAGCTCAAAAATAAAGACAAAAGTTAATTTTTATTCAATAAGAGTAAACTTCGTTACAAACTCCTTTACAAAAAACAAAAATAAAGACAAAAGTTAATTTTTATTCAATAAGAGTAAACTTCGTTACAAACTCCTTTACAAAAAAAAAGAGGAAGGAAAAGAAACATGTAGGTTATCAAAGCTCTCGACCGGATTTGGGAGTCGAACTTGATGGACTCTTGGTGGAAGCAATTAAAGAAGAATCCCCAGGGGCCCCAGCAACAGGCTCGAACTCATCATCATTCGCTGATAAATCCAACCCGCCTCTAATTTTCTCGACATATTTCAATAAGTCAAGACAACAAGAGACGCAGGAATGGTAAAAGCGATATGGAATAGGATGAGAGTCACGAGGCTATTTCGGCCTTCCCTATAGAGCCATGACACCAGTCATCGACCACCTTCTTTTTATACTGCTCTAAATCCAGATGAGCGAGTTGGTACTCTAATTCATTAACAAGGGCCATGGATGCCAGAAGAT